TACAATGACCTCACCTGCAAATACTTTCCTATGTCACAGCGGTAACGCAACTGATTTCTATTCGAACAGCGACATACCACCGGTTGTCCTGACGGTCCTGACTTAGATTCTTTGTTATTTTCTTACGTTCTACTAAGCGAATGCCAAGCAATGATTTGATGTATTCCACTAACGCGTGCTATCATATTTTCCCCCCATTTCTATATAAAAATAATCCTCTTGGCTCGTTCGATGCTGGTATTATTATTATTTTTTTATTGCTAGTGGGGTGGGACTTAGTCCCTTGTACTGCGCCACTTCTGGCCTATTGTACCAGCCCCAGATGATAAGTGAGGGTGACTGTGGAGCAAATGGTGGAATGAAGATTGGCAGAGGAAACCGAAATACTCGGCGAAAACCTGCCCCAGCGTCACTTTGTCCACCATAAATCCCACTTGACGAGACCCGGGATCGAACCCGGGCCGCCGCGATGGGAAGCCAGCGACTAACCGCTTGAACTTTCGATGCTAGTAACTTCTATGTTGAGAAATCATAGTTAAAAATCCAGGAACGAACCGTGATAGAGCGCATCTTGATAAGTTAATATCAGTTCACAAATTGATAAAAATACCAGCGGATGAGGAGCCCAAAGTTGCATTACCGCGTTCGAGAAAGTTCACCACTTGTCTCTACATTTAGTGGCATAAATCGAGATCATATCTTCGTGTCATACTTATTTACGATTCTGATATTATCCTCCCACCTATGCATAAATCTTGCCTCCAGGGTTTCCGATAAAAATGTTCTACGCGTTTCTCACCCTCTGCTCATTTGTGATTTGCTGGTGTCTAAAAAAGTAAGAATATATATTATGAAAATAATAAATATAGTTTTTGTTTTAGTTGTAATTACCTGCGTGTACTTTCGTGATAAACACGTAAGTACACACAGGCAGTTAAAACTAACACAGAAACGCCACGTCATAAACACGTAAGTACACACAGGCAGTTAAAAATAACACAGAAACAGCACGTCATAAGCACGTAAGTACATACAGGTAGCTAGAACTAACGCAAAACCACTACGTGGTAAACACGTAAGTATACACAAGTAGCTACAACTAACACAAAAACACTACACAGAAACTGCATTTATTATTTTTATAATATATATTCTTAATTTTTCAGACACCAGCAAATCACAAATCAGCAGTACGGAATATATCTGAAATTCGCAGTATGTAGCAACATTATATACATAAATTAAGTACACATAAAAGAATGTCACAGAAGGACACACAGCAGCAGGAACCTGGGTGTTAGAAAAGTGGTTTCGGGTGCCTTTAAAGCCCTGAGCTAAGGCTCTCTTTGAGCAGAAGTCACCGCTTTATTTTCCTCATGTGTACACGGATTACAACTCTAGGATACATAAGAGCAAATAATGCGGTTGCCTTAAATTAACACAATTGGAAAACCGAGGACACTTGGAATCCGCAGTTGACGAGGCATTGCCACAATGCGTTTGTTCGGAATATGCAGAAAACGTTTGGGAACAATATAACGGTTTATTTGTTTGTGTCTTTCCTTATTTGTAGGGAGTAAGCTCACATCCAGAGTTGGATAATCATTTCTGTAATCCTTCAAGAAACGCGCTGAAATAGAATGTCTCACAACTAATTCCCCATCAACCTAACATAGGGAAAGCATTAGCACGAAGATAATTTGTGTACCTCGTATTAGAAAGGTGCTCTATTCAAATCCCAGTCGAGAATTGTTATCCCGACTGCGATTCTCCGTAATTTTCCTCAGTATCTCTTGCAGAATGCCGGGATAAGACGTTAAATGAGGCCACATCATATTCTTCACGTTTAATCCTACACAATCATCCTGAGATATTTCATTCTATATAAATAAACCTTTATAGTCGACATGATGAGATGGGCAGGGCATATAGCACGAATGGGGGAGAAAATGAAAGAATATAGGATATTGGAGGGAAAGCCAGATGAAAAGAGACCACTAGGAAGACCAAGATATAGGTGGGTGGACAATATTAAAATTGATCTTAGAGAGATAGGATGGGATTGATTGAATTGATCTGGCTCAGAATAGGGACCCGTGGAAGGCTCTTGTGAACAAGGTAATAAACCTTCGGGTTCCATGAAATTCTTGGAAATTCTTGAGTAGCTGTAGAATTGGCGGCTTATCAAGAAGGGCTCAGCTCCATGACTGAGTGATTATAGTCGATATGAAGTCATAAAATTACAGAATAACCGTCGTTTAATTTACCTGATGTGAACTTGACACCGATGTCCACGATTTGCAGCGCAAAGCCACACAAACATGTTTTCAGACTTTACCATCATGTGACAGAAGAACTTTGTTTCATAATACGTAGTTAGCTGATATTCTGTTCAAAGAGTCCTGGTGTTTAGGACCAAGACCTCTACCCTTAGGAGTGTTATGATTGACTTTACTTTGTCATTAAGTAATTTTTATCACACTCATCGCCAATGACGTCGATTAAATTCTTGATAAAAATTTCATTTATATTTCTATGCTTTAATTAACGGACCTAAGGTTATGTGGCATAAAACAATAAACGATACTGAGGTGACGTAGCGTCAGGACAGATCTGTTCTGATGTTTGTGATGGAGGTACTGAGAGGATGGATAAAGAAGCAATTGCAAGGTACAATTCACACATTTTCTTGAGGAACTGATGAAGTCCACGAAGATCTTATTCAAGGTAGTCCGTCTCCGGCCGGGTTTCGAACAGGGCAGCTTCCAAATGCTACCCGGACACGTTCCTGCTCAGTGAGATGTAGCAGGACAATTATGAATTTCTAATTGGGAGGAACGTGGGTTGGACAGTCGTCTGTTTCCAAGCACTACTGGTATTTGCCTGAAAGGACTGAAGAAAACAGAGAAAATCAGTCAAAATATCTAGACAATCGACAGAGATTCGAACCGGGGGTTTCCCGTTATGACGAAGCGTGCTATCACTAATCATCAATTTACTATAGTTATTGTGTTTCTGGACATTACCCATCGCCCTTTTGTATTTAAAACACACAATTCTTGGGAGACTGGATTCTCCAGAGTAGGGACTAGCTCCATCCATTGGGTCCAACTGAGTAGGTTCCATCTGAAGACAGAACAGAATCGCTGCATGTTATTTTAAGTAAAAACATGAAGACGGATAATGTCCAGAAACGCAATATTTATATTAATATATCGTCGTCGCAAATTTTGGCTCTTACCGACATGGACCAAGGCCCCTCTTGAGAAGCTAACAGTCACTCAGGTGGTGAAGACATTCTCCTCCTTTTACGGAACCCGAGGATTCATTACCTTAATCACAAAAGCCAGTCATTTGTCTCCGTCCTGAGCATCATGAATTTAGTCCACATCTTTGCGTCCTGTTTAGATAAGATCTATTTTAAACTTCCCTTCTACGGCTAGGTCTCCCAAGTTGTTTCTTCCTTTCAGATTTTCGGACTAAAATTGTGTACGCCTTCATGTCTTCAATGCTTAAATCAGGCTTACTGATTTGATTGGTTGAAAAGAAGCTTAGAAAAATAAAAAGGACGTTCTAGCGACTCTGACCGCGGAGGTCTCCTGGGATGCGATCCTGTTTAGCTTGGAAGATGGGTACCAATATTTCTGAGAACTGTTGCATGTATTTTCAGGGTAGAACAGCAAGCACATAAGAGTCACTTTCCAGAAGACAAAAAAAAAATCCGTGGTTTTAGTCCGCAAGCGAACTATACCGACCGAGCGACCGCCGCTTGTCGGCGAAGTTAGTGCCAACTTTAGCGGATAGAGGGTGTCGCGTGGTCAGCGCAACGGATCCCCACGGCCGTAAATTTCCAGTCTTCAAATCTACTTAATTTGAATGTGCTTATAATCGGCGGACAGGGATAGTTTGATATCTCTCCTTCAGACACGATATTCCGTCAAGAGTTCTATTTTCTAGTAAATTACGCCGCGTAGTCGTTGATAGCTGACCGACATTTCAGAGAAGTATGTCGCCTCCACCTTCGAAAAGTTCCTCCTAAACGTCGGATTATTTCAGACGGACTACGAGGTGTTATATAGTCATAAGATAGAACTGTTCACAACCACCGCTGTGGGAGTTTCGGGTCCTACGAGACTCATTCATCTTGAAATCAGACCCACAGATATTTCTGATGGCAATAATGTTAATGTTCGAATCCAGAGAAAATTTTAGGTCACGTTTATACCATAGTTCTGCGTAAGGAAACTAACATGGGTGTGCAGAGAGTTTTGGGAATTAAATTCCTTTTGCAATTGGAAGAAATTGCTTTCACAGTTAAATACGCAAAAGTTTGGTATGCTCTGTGGAAAACATCCTTGACGTCGCACCATACACTGAGTATTCAAGTTACGGCAGAAAGTCCTTTGTGTTCGACAAGGTATCCTGTGCGGGGCTCCCAGGTATCGTCGCTTTGAAACTGCATAATTTAATATCGACTTTCATAAAATCAGTAAATAATGATGATTTTTACGATGACGCATTCTTAAAATTGTTTCAGACAAGGTATACTTGTTTAAATCTTACCCTCATTTTATATGAAATAATTGCCTTACCGTGTCATGTCCGCCCTCCTAATAACGTCTGAATCAATGGATTTTATTTCCACGAAACAATACATTTTTTACAGGGCAAGATCGTCAGCCTTGAGTCCAATCCCCAACCTGGAGGAACAGGTCTCTGTATTTATGTCCCCAGGCAACGGGTACCATTTTCGTCTCCTTCAGCGACCCATGTTTGAATTATTCTAATCCGCCTCCACGTAAAATTCTTTCTACAATTTAACTTTCGCAATGTCAAAGTCTTGATGAATATTATCAAAAAGAAAGGAAAAAGAGAAGAAGATATTAAGGAAGGAGGGACGAGAGAAAGAGACTGTTTACCACGCACATGTCAGTAGTTAGTAAGATATAATTGCATTTGGACTTTTAAAAATACTTAGATCACTTAAAGGCGTGGTTTGCTTGTGTGCACGTGACCCTGGAGCCAGTATATGAACACTGTAACGGACTGTACTCGGCCACAACAACGCGGGCAACATGCAGGGAGATAAGTGGATCCACAAGGTAAGCGCACACAACAATATGACTGTATCTTATTTATTCAACATTGTCGAGTTGTGAGAAAGGAACATCTTTGTTCGATTGTCATTTTCATGGCCTAAAGAAGCTATACGTTTACCTCGTACGCTCAAAAAGAAAGAGAGAAAAATACAGACGACATTTTTTAAATTCAGTGGGGGAAATGTTGTGTCACGCTCGCATGCTATGACATTATGCTTTCTCATCACACAATATATGAAATGGAGGAATAATCTGGTGGCCGCGACCGTCTACTAGTCCGAATGTTTAATCTAGGACACGAAACGGAAAAATATATTTAAATTTGGTATTCGGGATCTGCACTAACATTTGTTTGAACTTATAATTTTAGTTCACATACGTCGCATATGATCTCTACTTAACTTAATTTCAAATCAGTTTTCGTCGATTATATCATCAATGATTAGTGCAATCGCTTTTTTTTCTAAAGTACAGAACACACTAACATCTCCTTCAGCAAATATTTGAAACATTTTTCAACGAGCCGATAGTGAACAGGTAATGAAATACAAAGAAAATTACTTTTTTCTTAATGAAATTTTGGATTTTCAAACTTCTTTGAAGCCATATTGTTGTAGAATGTGGTACAACAACATGGCGACCGTGGACGTGGTATATTAAGATTTTTGTGTGATGGCAAAAACTAATGAATCATTGAAGACAGACGATGAGATCTGGTAAAGAGAAAGTCCTTAAACCTGCCTATACATTTAGCACAAAAATTACATTGTATATTTAATATTATGAACGTGTCGACAAGGCAAAAATTTGAGATTACGTACCACAATAAGAAACGTAACCTATACTAGGGCGAATTATGTGATATATTTATTGACGTATGGTTTATTTTAGAACTTCCGTATTATGGCAATTAACTGAAAAATCGATGTAGTTAGTTGTGTAAATTTCGAATATGAGTTTTTAATTAGTCTAACAAATTCGTGTCAAATATATATTACACATCCTCAAGGGAACAAATTTGATGTGGGAGTGAATTAGTACTTTTATTCCTGTTGTGGTGATGCCAATGGTAACTGCCCTTATGAACTTCTGTAAGGCAATGTACGTGTAATACAAAATTTCCTGTGATTTATGCTGCACGAAATGTGTCTTCAAACGACATACGAATAGCAGGCCGTATTAAGCAGACTTCATTATTCAGTATTTCGGCGAGGTGTTCGTCTTCTCCTCCCAATAATTGAAATAAACGTGAAAATTACAGATATTTCCACTTCTGTAGATCCATTTTTCGTCAGAGGCACTGTCAGTGAAGTCTGTGGTATGTGTACCAGAAATTACAAAATCAAACAAAAAAATCAAAACAAACTCAGTGGTTTTAGTCCGCAAGCGAACTATACCGACCGAGCGACCGTCCCTTGTCGGCGAATTTAGTGCCAACTTTAGAGGGTAGAGGGTGTCACGTGGTCAGTGCAATGAATCCCCACGGCCGTTAATTTCGGTTGTATAGACCGGAGCCGCTATTTTCTTGAACTAGCTCCTCAATTATCCCCACGAGGCTGAGTGGACCCCGTTCCAGACACACTACTTCTCAGAAAATCTGGTAGCACCGGGAATCAAACCCGGACCTCTGGATCTGTAACCAGGGACTTTGCCCACTATACCACAAAAGCGGTCAGAGATTACAAAATCGTTGTCTGAAAGTATGTCATATTGGGATCAAGAATAAAAGTACAAACTATTTGAAAATCGGATTTTAATATCGGATGTTATAAAAATCCTGAATGAATTTTGTGAATTTTCATGTAGATAAATAACTATTCATTATATGTTGCTAATATGATGCAACTGAAGTTATTGTAGGTTTGTTTTAGTTCAGAATCAAACATGGACTTCTAAAATGAGAGGCGTGTTCCTGAATATATAGGTTATGACAACAGCCGGTAATCTCAAAATAACCGACACTGTGCATGTGATAAATCTAACAACCATCAGGAATTTATATTGATGCAAATTATGGACATAAGTTATTCATTAAACTGTATAATTTCTTGCGAGTAATTCCCATTATATTCGCTAAGATGAACACATTTGAAGGAAACATGCACCGCATGTTCTTCACAGAACAGGCAGTGCAGGGAATGTTTGTGGAAAAAGTAGAATTATTACTTTAGTTGTAACATAAGCGAATTCCGAACAAAATTATGATTTTAAATAGCATTTAGTTATAGGAATCGATTAAATCCTTCACGTGTAGTAACAACTTCAGAAAGAGATAATAAAACTCAGGAACAAAGCTTTATATGGTAGTTACCTTGACCACTGGACCCGATGAGCTACTACCAGCATCCGCAAAGTGAAGTTCAGTCCTTGACCACATTGTCTAATCTCGCCTGTGGAGTTCAGTACACATCAGCATAATCGACAGACAAATAACACAACAATTATTATTAAAGCTCTACAGCCCTCTATTGGACCTTGACCACTTTTTCAGTTTCTTGATCCTATGCACAGTGGTAGGACTCCTTGGACGGGGGATCAGCCCTTCGCAAGACCGTTACCTACACGCAGAACAGCACAATCACAGAATAAACGCACACACAGACATCCATGCTTTGAGTAGGATTCGAACCCATGATCATAGAGTTCGAACGAGCAAAGACAGTTCATGTTTAGACCGCGCGGCCATTTTGATCGGCGGTAACACAACAATATAAAGTAAAAAAATCCAGAGACAAGCGATGTAATGATAATAAGTAGCATAATTTACAGATAAAAACAATAATATAAAGTAATACAATCCACTGAGAAGTAACAAAATAATACATAACATAATTTTCGCAATGCACAGACAAGAAATGCTGTTCATATTACCACAGTCCACAGATACGTAACAGTGATATAGAGTACCGTAATCCACAGGCAACTAAAAGCACTGAAAAGAGTGGTCTAGTGGTAACGCTTCATGCTTTTTATTTTGCAGATTCTCGGTTCGATTCTTGGCCTTTCCTGTTTAAGTGTTTCTTGGTTTCATCAGTCTCTGCAGGCAAATTCCTGGATAGTACTTTGATTAGGCCACAACCGCATTTTTCTTAATTGCTTCGCAGTTCATCAATCACCCTATCATCCGACCACATATAGTTCCGTTAATGAATGCACTGTTAAAACAATCGATGTAAAAACACGAAGTACCGTGAACTACAGGCAATTAGTAACACAATCCACAGATGAGCAGCAGTAGAACAGGGAGGGAAACTTTATATTCCGCAGAACAATAACACAGTAATGCCAAGTACTGCAATCACTCCACAGAGAAGTTACAAAATATTTCAGGTTGCCATAATCTACACAGAAATAAATCAATAGGTCTATAGGTGTCACACTCCGCAGAGCAGTAAGACGACAATACAAAGTACAATAGTAAAGAAGTGTCGGTAAGATAAGGCACATTCATGCGGCAAGGCTTTGATCGCTGGAGTTCGAGCTCTCCACAGATGTACACCACTTCCTACCTCTCTGTTCTTTGCTATATAACTACTGGCAATTGTTACGAGGACCAAGGGAGACGTCGTTAGGGCCGAGATCACTCCATGTGCCTTAGATTAAGAAACAGTCCATCATCTCTCTTATAGGTGACTGAGAAAGCTGAGGACTAGACATATGTACAAGTATATGCTGAGTGAGTGTATGTCTACATGTACATGTTAAGTATAAAGTAAGTTAAGAGACATAATTCCTTTTGGAAATGGAACCAAAATACTGTATTTGCGCATGTATAGGCCGCACATTTTTTGCCAAAAATTCAAGAGGAAAACTGGGGTGCGGCTTATATTCGAAATATTCGAAATCACACTTCATTTAATCATATTCATTTCGGAATAATTTCTACTCCTGAAATAATATTCCAAGAAAATTATTTTTTCTATAATTTCTGTCTGAAAATTGTGCTGCGGCCTATACACGCACGCGGCCTATACATGCGTAAATACGGTAAAATAGTTTAACAAAAAATACGTTAATCCCAGTTATAACACATGGAAGATGCGTGTAACTCCATTTCAAAATATATTAAACTTTCAAAACTTTTCTTTGCGGTTTTCTTTTTTTCACTTATGCGGTAGCGTAGTTTGTCGAGGCACTATGCTTCAAGCCGGAAGGTTGCAGGTTCGAGTCCAGATGAGATAGAATTTTTCAATTGACCTAATCCTTCTAGCCTCACTATGACCCTGAAGTCGACTCAGCCCCTTAACAGAAATGAGTATCAGGAATTTTTCTGGGGGTAAAGGGCGGCCGGCGCGTAAGACCGACAACCTTACCACCATCTTTGAGCCAACTGTCTAGAAAATGTGGGAGCCTCGACGTCTCACAACCCTATGGGCCTCCACGGCCTGTTACAAGGATAGCTTTACCTTTATCTATCTCAATTTAGATTTCTTCTCTTACGTCTTTAGATGGCGCTTTCAGTGTCCGATGATAGGGCGGTTGATAAGTGATGAACTGGAAAAAATTGAGAAAGAAGTGGTCGTTACCTAATGAAGCTACTATTCAAGAGTTTGCCTAGAGAAACACAGCAAAACCACGAAAGAAGCTCAGTCAGGACAGCTGGAGCCCTGGTTGAGAGTTTAACTCGGGACTTATCGAATACAACTTCGCAGCTTTGCCTCTAGACCACCCTGTTTCGTGATATGAATTTTTCTCGCAGTAAACAGCAGAAATATTACACCGAAGAGTGATAAATTTTAGTATTGATAAAATTAATAATCAGCGGAAGATGTGTTGGCGCTTTATTTTTCTTTTATTGCTAGTGGGATGGGACTAAGTCCCTTGTACTGCGGCCACTTCTGGCCTATTGTACCAGCCCCAGATGATAGGTGAGGGTGATTGTGGAGCGATTGGTGGAATGAAGATTGGCAGGGGAAACCGAAGTACTCGGAGAAAACCTGCCCCAGCGCCACTTTGTCCACCACATATCCCAGTTGACCATACCCGGGATCGAACCCGGGCCATCGCGGTGGAAAGCCAGCGACTAACCGCTTGAGCTATGGCGCGGCCCTACTGGTGCTATGAGGGCATACTTCGTTAAATGTAGGCCTATGTAATAGAGAAAATATTTTAAAGACATTTAAGGTTCTTAACGAGAAGAATGTTTTAAATTGTGTATCTTTCGTTTCCAAGATAACATTTCTTTCTCGATTAATTTGGTTTAGTCATATTTAAGATTTATGAAAAGAAGTTACAGTGAAGTGACAGAGACCAACACTGAATTTAACCCGCAACTCTCAGTGTATACTTCTGGCACCAAATTTCATTAATTTCCGTTAAGATGTTTTGTGGATGGAGACTAGAGAGGAATGGTCTCTGTGTCACCCTTTTACTTCGTTCGGAGTGGTGGCTAATGTACCCGTATTTGGGCAATCTGTCTGAAGTCTGCGGCCGATGCTGCTACCTGGCAGGCTAACTCAGTCCCCGCCAGGTCTCACCAATATAAGAAATCTGCGAGCAAAAAACCAGCGTGAGCAGGTGGCTGGCCGGCTTCTCGCTCGGGGACTTCTTATACCCTGAAGATGGAGGCGATATGTTCCTTCGAAACGTCGGTTAACACAATATCTACACGGCGCCACATCCCAGAAGACGACGTTTTTCATAGTCACCGCCGTGAAAATCTCAAATCTTACACAGTTCTTAAGGTGTTCGTATAAACTTCAACGCAAGTGTGATTTTTTTAGGCAGAAAAATTGTTTTAAAATTATTTGCTAATACAGAAACCAGCAGATCTCTTCGTATGGTTCTAGAATTCTATTCAACCGAATTTGTGAATCACCCACCAATATATTTCACTTAACGTGGTACATCCTTGACGTAAAATTTACCTTATTGATTAATATAACATCGCTAAATATGTTACGAAACAATCTATAATACATCCACCGACCATGACTAATTATAGAGACTCGATGTCACCTTCCGAGAAAGCGAACTGATTTGTCAACTTCTGTCTGTAACTGTTTTCGTGTGTTCCGTAGTGACAATAAATAGAAGTACTTACTGGAGTTGAATATGAAGATTATATGATTACGTACTGAGATAGGGGACAGAATACTTAGGAACGTTAGAAAATAACATAAAATTTAATAGTTAAAGTTCCTCCGGTCTAGAAATCCGAGACTAACGGCCTTGGAACACGTTGCGCTGACCACGCGACACTCTCTATCAGCAAATGTTGGCACTAACTTCGCCGACAAGCGGCGGTCGCTCGATCGCTATAGTACGCTTGTGGACTGAGGACCACGGAGGATGAGCTAAAAATCCGGTCGAGATCTGGATCCGACATATCCAAAATACGATGCTGTAGTCTTAACCAGAACACAGTGATTTCGAGACACTTGTTCGAGTCTCGGTTATTGCTTAAAAATTTTAATGACGGAAACCCGGAACTTAGTTCTGCAGATAGGGAAGGAGGGGACTTCTGAGGATATGGAAATCGTAAATGTTCAGATGGTGGCTGTATTCTGGAAGAAGTAATGCAGGCCTCCTCGCGTGACAAGATCTAAGCCCCGTCAGCTGTTTATGTAGATAGGTATAGAACGGGAGAGAATTCCATGGGAGTATAAAGTGTTCATTGTACATATGTTCTAGAAGGGGAATAAAATCAGTATTAGAATTTTTCATGAGCATCTCTTTTCATGCTAACCCTAGTCTAAAAGAATTCTTGTAGAGAATGACCTATACCAGGATGACAACCATAATAATTGAGATCGTGGCACGCGGTAGCGTAGTTTGTTGAGGCATCATACTACAAGCCGGAAGGTAGCGGGTTCGAGTGCTGATGAGGTGGATTTTTTCAGTTTACTTAATCCTTCCAGCTGCACAATGGCCCCGGGGTCGACTCAGTCTCTAACAGAAATGATTACCAGGAATCTTCCTGGGGGGTAAAGGGCGGCCGGCGCATAAGTCTGACAACCTTACTGCCATCTGTTCTCGAGTGTCTAGAGAAACAGTGGGAGCCTCGACGTCTCACAACCCTATGGGTCTCCACGGCCTGTTACAGGGATAGCTTTACCTTTTTTAAATCATTGAAATCGTCTCTTTAACCAAATATATATATACACTCGTATATATATATATATATACACTCGTATATATATATATATATTTGGTTATATATATTATATGGGGAATTTTGTAGATAAATAAAAGAATAGCAGCACAGTATATACACACTTTGCAAATCTTAAAATTGTTTTTGGTTCGAAGGAATTTTGTTCAAAATAAATTAAGCTTGCGATGTTTGAAAAAGTGTTGAATTAATGAGATCCAGTCTTGAAGAAGTATAACTTATCAGACTCTGAGGGAAAGCTTCATCGTCATTATTTTTGTTGTTAAGACAAATGGTCCATGAATTTCCAGCGTATTTGGAATTGAACAGCTTCAACAAATTGTTACAAACGTGACGTATAATTTGGTGAAGATATGACATGCTAAAGAAGCGACAATTTTTCTTTTGATTCAATAAATAAACCAATAAAAATTTCAGTTATCTCTCTAGCTAATCGTCACGTCATAATGGGAATGAGGTTGGATGGTGCAAAGCTTCACTGTATACTCATTGTATAGGAGGCTGGTCATGCCCCAAAGCAGTTGTTAATGTGATGATAAGGAGAGAAATATCCAGTGCCCTTCCCCTGAATCGAATTACCGTCATCCAGCAGTACAATATTATTATAAAAAAAAAAATAGAGGATTCAAATTCCGTAATTGCTGAAATATATGTATTGTGGCATGTAGACCCATTGCTAGACAACGACAACGAAATAAGCAGCTATACAATAGCCGTTGCCAAGTAATAGCTCCGTAAACAACGACCGTTCCTAGGTAATGGTGGCAACAGATACGCACGCAAGATAGAAATGTTGTTGGAAGCGATGTTCCCTGTGAGGTCCTTTCCGAGGCTATTTAACGAGGGATAACTGCCATTAGAAGAGAGTCTTGAGACGGCAGTGAGACGAGTAGGAAGTTGGTGTGAAAGGGCCACTAGCCTGGGAGTTAGTGAAGAGTTGGATGTTGAGTGAGTTAGAGGGGTGCTGCGGTTGCTGTTAGTAGCTGCTAACTGAGGTACGGAGGTACGGGGACAGTTGGGGAACCAAGAGGAATGGCAACATTCGCCGTTGGACGCCGTTACCAGAGGAGTGGTGAAGACACAGCAAGCTGAGAAGACTTAAGTGGGTCCTGCAGTGAACTGTAAAGTGTGTGAATTAGTGAAACGGTTACAGTTGCTTGTAATTACGAGTTGTGTGTATGAGTGTGCAATGAGTCCGATTACCAATCCGAACTACGTCTACAGTCATTAAAATCGCGACAATATGTAAAGAACCGGGGTGGAGCAGTCGCCATAGCGACGAGCTGCGGGCAGGACGGCCTGTATTCGATTCCTGACAAGGGTAAGATTTTTCTCTTCTCCATAATGTCCAGACCAGCTCCTGGGCCCACCCAATTGGTATGGGGGGACAATTTCCCCAAGGGTAAAGCGGCCATGGCGTGAAACCGACCACTCACCTCCATCTAATGCCGGGGTCAAGAATGGTTGAGCGATACCTCAAATCCCCATATGACTTCATGGAACAGTGCTTAATTAAAAAAGCACAGGGATATTTACGTTATTCAGAGAGATTTTTGAAGCAAACATTTCTTTCTGTTCGCAGGCCGGCACCTGTGGCCTGATTGTCGCATTGACAGTTGTCGTGGCATCACTGTGTGTTGATGGGTATCCTACTTACCAAGTATGGGACATGAAGGAAATAACCGAAGAAGACATGAATAAGTCTACACGTTGCAGTTCTGATGTAAGTAACAAGCCATTGCTACCAACTGTTGTTTGGGCGTCTTCTAAGGTTTATGTAGGTAGGAACCTCTACATTTTCAATGCAGCGTCTTCTTAATGACAAGTTACTGGTTGTGGCTTCACACAATTAATAGCAACGGGAGAAGTGCAAAATAAAGATAGATAAAACAAAATTAAAAATATGAACGACAAGGACATTTCTATGTCCAATATGGCTTCCACTTAACACGCAAAGAAATTCAAAGCCGTTACAGCCGGACAGATCTGTGTTCAGACTTTATTCCTGTGTAATATGTGAGACAGGACGTGTACACAACATTGAAGTAATTGGTTGAGGCACTATGTTACAAGCCGGAAGGTAGCGGGTTCGATTCCCTATGAAGTGGATTTTTAACTGACCTAATCCTTCCAGCCGCACTATGTCCCTGGGGTCGACTCAGCCTCTAACAGAAATGAGTACAAGGAATCTTCCGGGGGCGGGGGGTAAAGGGCGGCCGGCGCTTAAAGCTGACAACCTTACCGCCGTCTGTGAGCCGCTTGTCTAGCGAATATGTGGGAAACTAGAAGTCTCACAACCGTATGGGCCTTCAAGGCCTGTTACAGGGATAGCTTTACCTTACATTGACCATTCAGGATGGGGCCACACGAGCGCACAAAATGCGTCCGTTGTAACGAACGTCGTGACGTCCGTTGTAGAAATAAATAAGAGAGGCGAATGTTACGCTTTCTTCTGGCTCCATTGCAGACAAAAAACTACGCACCGCATTCTGCAACTGTGTGGTGTCCTCAGCAACGTCCGTCATAAAGTACGTTCATTGCAACGGACGTACTTCGTGCGCTCGTGCGGTCCCAGCCTCACATGGTTAACCGCTGGTCACCTGGTTTCGAATAAGAGAACACTGGTGTGTCAGTAAGGGGCTGGCCCTGTCTGAGGTGAGATGTCGGGCTTCAAATTCGCCCAGGCTACCGACCACTGCGATTGATCTATTGGGCGATTTTCCTCAGAGTCTCTAGGGAAATTGCACGACCGCTTCCTTCCAAATCCATACCTACTCACCATTCATTGCTGTACAATCCAACAGCTGGATTAATACTGAAAATGACTAAAGAATCATGTATCTTTGGATAGTGTGCTGTAGAGGCCGCAGCTGCTGAAAAGCAACTTATTGCTCATTGAACGTTAATACTGGTCTGTTGAGTCATTAATTCAATGTTTAAACAACATTTTTTCCAATTAGCAAAAACACGTAAAGAAATCAGCAGTATAAACATGATATTTTTAGCATACAACCAAAACAATTAGAGAGTGCAATGTGCAGTCTGATCTAGATAACCGTAGAACACTCCACATACAGTCTGTACAGATTAAGATAGACACAGAAACCTGAAGGATTTCGAAGAATCAATTTTGAGGGCGTTTTTGAAAACTCTAAAAGTAAAGTAAGTAAAGTAAAGGTATCCCTGTAACAGGCCGTGGGGGCCTATAGGGTTGTGAGATGTTGAGGTTCCTACATTTTCTAGACAATCGGCTCATAGATGGCGGTGAGGTTGCCAGCCTTACGCGCCGGCCGCCCTTTACCCCCACGAATATTCCTAGTACTAATTTCTGTTAAAGGCTGAGTCGACCCCAGGGCCATAGGGTGGCTGGAAGTATTAGGTCAATTGAAAAAATCCACCTCATCGGGAATCGATCCTGCGACCTTCCGGCTTGTAGCATAGTGCCTCAACCAACTACGCTACCGCATGCCCAAAAATTGATTTACTGATATGCATGTTTTCCCTTCCATCGCCAAATGTTTATAATCCTAAAGCTATTACCTCACCCAGACACACGTACGTATGTTCCTGATCGTGATAATGAAATCATTGCTCATTTCTCCTTAAATGCAGCATAATGTACGTATGTAGCTATCATAGAATTTCCGTATCAGTTCTGAATTTATGTGGCAGACCTACTTCCCAGTTCCCTTGTGCAGTTTTTGAAAGAGTAAGATACCGAGGATTGGAATATTTTATGAAAGATTAAAATTTTGTCGGTATGTGGAATATGTACCTAAAATCAGCGGGAAGTCCAAGTATAATTGTAGAACGTAACTAGATCATCTTTATTATCTGTACAGCTCTCGAAGAAATGTTAGGGTAATTTGTCATCATGGGCTGAAGTTCTTGATTTGCTCATCTGGTGATTGTCATTGGTGGTATTACAATTTTGAGTTATATTATGGCCCTGGGGTCGACTCTGCCGCTAACAGAAATGAGTATCAGGAATCTTCCTGGGGGTAAAGGGCGGTCGACCGGCGCGTAAGGCTGACAACCTTACCGCCATCTGTGAGCTGACTGTATAGGAAATGCGGGAGCCTCGACGTCTCACAATCGTATGGGCCACCACGGTCTGTTACAGGGATAGCTTCTTTTTTAATGTAGCTCATTTGGACAAAATGAAATGTGATGAACGTTTCAGTTCAGGTGTAGGTGAGATGATAATATTAAATCAGGTCAATCAATAATTTGTTAGGATGTGAAGTGACTTTGAATCATGTCCATTCTTTAATTTGAAGATTTCGATTCCGTTGTAGTAGAGAAAGTAATATTATTTTCGCGAATTACTGTTATAAGAGACGAAATCCTATAATACAATAGACTGTGAAGAAACATTTAACGATTTCCAAACCATCTAAAATGGATAACTATGGAGATTTCGTCTGACTGTGTTCTTCATAAAGCTGTTCTTTCAACAACATGAGCATACGAGATCATTTAACACAATGCACGAGACTGAAACGTGATATGATGACGCCATGTAAATTAAATTAATTGCTGTTACACATTAATGTTGTCTGGGCTGAACTTTGGAGCCTGCATGACCTGATCCACGTAACCTCTGTACATATAGAAATTCAGGAAAGATATATCTCAACAGAAACTTTGCCAGACAAGTCCAATAAAAAATACAATTGCATGTATTCACACTAGCCTACTGTAAGCTTTCAATTAATTTACTAAATCTGCTGTCACATTTTTAGACGGAGGTATCCATGGCCAGTTTCAACACTGCATGAAATATTGAGCGAAGTTTGTTTGTGTCTTTTCAAAAGTATTTAAATAGAGCATATGTAGATATTATGAGATCTATATTTTATGTTATGTACATATCGTTTCGTATGAATACAGAAGTTTTATAAAACTTATTAAAGTTTAAAAAATTTATGATGATGGATCGATATTAATCAAAATTAAATTAATTCAGCAACTTCTGGCGTGACCAAAATAATACTAAAAGTAATTGAAACCGGTGAAGTAAATTCGTAGGCGTAACTCGCGGCTTCCTAGTCTATCCATTGCGAAATACGAACAAAAACTAAGATCTTTTATTTTCTCATCATCAGACTTTGTTTCATTAGTCTGTTGCTTCGAATTGTGAGTTCGAAACATGTTCTGATAAAGACAGCATACGATATATTCCCATTGAAACTTTAGAAAATGCTAGTTAAAGTTCAATAAGTATTCATTTGACTTTATTATGTGTAATGCCCCATATGATACTGATGGACACTGTCGAATGACTCGTACTATCGCATATTTATTCGATATCGGAATGCAAGTATCGGATAATTCATTTGGTATTTTTCATTTTTTACTATTGCAATGACGGGAAACATGTATAATGAACACATCTCAGTCTAATATAAAATCCACATTTGAATTTATTTACCTATCAATAAACCTATATTTTACAAAATAATTGCACATGTACGTTCATATTTGTCTGGGTTCTGAGGAATGTTCTTTTCAGAGGAAACGTATTTTCATTGCTTCAACCCTAAATATGGTGGCGGTCTGTTTTTTCGTAAGGTTGGGCTCCCTCCGACTTACAAGGTGTTACAACCCAGAAAAGTGTACTCGTCATAATTGCTGCCGTCAAAACCTCAATTTTTTTTCTATCTATGGCTTTACATCCCTCCTGTTGGACCCTGACCGCTTTTTCAGTTTCTTAATCCTGTAAACAGTCGGTAGGACTCCTTGGACGGGGGATCAGCCAGTCGCAAGGCCGCTACCTACACACAGAATAAACACACACAGACATTCATGCCTTGAGTGGGATTCGAACCCACGATCCCAGCGTTCGAGCGAGCGAAGAATTCAAATTCACCTTCAGTAAAATTACTTCTAGTGAAAATTCAGTTAAAGAGTACACACCCGTATTGACAGTAGTAAAATAGGTTATGCCAGACGAGAATTCACATAATTCACTAAGCATCCACAGGTTTGTCTGCCCACAAGTTACATTGCAATAATTAGTAATGAGACTGATTTGCAATTGTTCATGTGGTTTTCTTTCTGACCAGCAGATGGTAGCCAATGCTGTAATATGATTTTATGGATCGGTACTTTGGTCATGGATTGCAGTGCCTAACCATTGTGTGTATCATTACTCGAAATCAAAAAGCCTATGCATAGTTCCAAATTACCGAATGCTATCAAACCTAACCAAAGAATTTCGGACCTCTGCTATATTTGTAATTTTTCACATTTAATAAGCTTTAATGCAACATATTTATGACCAAACAATGAGTGGTGGGTCTGGAGGAATTAAAAACTGGAGAAATATGGAAATATACCAAATATTAATACAAAAAATTACAAGCATTAAAAATATATTGTTCTGTCCTCAGTACTATGCTACTTCGCTTATATTGGTTCCAAATGGATTCTTAATAGCAGTTATATAAAGTATCACAATTCCAAAAAGGAATATGTTACATGGGGGTAAAGATCTTTAATCATTTGCCACCAGAAATCAAATCTATGTCTAATGACTTGAAAAATTTTAAAATTCAGTTGACAACATTTTTATTGCAAAACTCTTTTTGTACATGTGATGAATTCTTTAGTAACAAATTTGCCTAGAAATAAGGATAATAGCATAAACAATTTTAATATTGCATAATTTTATGAATAGTGATGTAAGACTGTAAATTTAACACGTTTTTTATCTATTATAATGATTATAAGCTGTACATATATATTTATAATTGTATTGTACTACATTAACTATGTGACTGGTTCTATATCTATGTATATGGATTTATGGAATATACAATAAATGAATGAATGAATGAATCAGAATGAAAAAGTAACATTTAAAAAATATAAGTATAAAACTATAAAAGCAGGATTCTGCATCATGTTCACATGTCCTCGGTCTCTCTTCACCTTGCGTGAATACACAGTTATAGAATATTCCTGTAGGCCAGGAATTTTCCATTCATCCTAAATGTTCTTACCATCTAATTATGTTAATTATTTATATTCATATCTATTTGAGGTTCCTTTCATATATCTGCACTATCACGTGATTAAGTAGCTAATATCCAACCAAATCTGTTACCTTTGTTCTACATAAAACATGTTGGTGTTGACCTATTTCTACCAGAATATCCAACTGAGTTTTATTTTATTTAAGCTTTTTGGCTACACAAAATCCCTAATATATTTAGTGATCTTACAAAAAATTAACAGGCTTTAAATTATAGAAAGAAAACTTTCTTACTGAATGTACAGATTATTAACCTGTTCTGTGCACTATATGCCTATCTTCTCTTGGAAGTTCCAATGTTTCTTCTTCCTTTAGGAGGTATTTTTGTAATTCCACTAGGTTCTATATGATCTTGGTGTATTCAAACTGACCAAACTTTTCTTGTCTATAATGTGTTCCTGAATGCAGTAGTGAGAAACAAAGTTGATTTTCATGCTTTACAGAACGATACAGAGACATTGTGTCAGAGGTGTGCAAAGTCAACCAAGTCGATCACATTATACCCCCTGTGCTGTGACAAGAAAGAGACTGTGAGGGAATGGTGTGAGTCTTACCTCAACTTTGGCATCCGTCTGTGAGATAGGTGGCAGTAAAGCACACAAGATTTAGAGCTCTCTTTTAAGTTATTAATGAAGACAGTTTAACCATTTGATTGTAAACACAAAGGTAATGTGTGAGTACTTCCTATATCTTCCACATTGAGAGATGAAGAGTAACATAATCTACTTCATATGAGTACATTAAGCTACTGACATTCCAAATTGCACCTTTTGAATTTCAGGTGACTGAAACAAATGTGAATTACTTAAGTTTCCATCCAAATTTGTCCCTTAAACAACAAATACTAACATGACTTACACTGTAGGTGCAAATACTAAAAGGAAACATCTCAGAACACTCTCAAATATCCGATCCAAGAATTATTTATTCACCAATTCAGAATTAAGTGAAAAGCCTGTTCCAAACTCACACTATGATACCAACAAGAGGTTTGAGTTCCTTTTGTTATTGTCCTTTTCTAATTCAGCAATTGCTTTCTTCATGTTATTCCAAATACTGCAGGATCTGGACCTGTGATTCTCCCCTCTCAATATTCCTCTGGACTCATGTAATTGAAAACTCTTTTTGCAAGATCTGTCTTCATTCCACTATGTATAATGTCATTAGGGACAAGATTTTGTCTATTTGATTATGTATCATGAGATGTAAATATGAAATTCTTTACAGACTTTAAAAATGATTTAATAATTACATAGATTTCTGTTATCAGTTTGAAGTAATTAGATATAAGAATTGTACTCTAATCAGTCTTCCATAAATAACTTGAAGAGCATCAAATAATGTTAATAACAATGCTCTGTTACTAGCTTGAATATAAATATGTTTAGCAGTCACCATAATTAAAATATTGAATATTTTCATTTAAATATTTCAGTTTATTTGGAAGTCCAAATATATGTTGCACATTTATCTTAAATGTGCAAAAACTTTAGATTTCACTGGGATCTAAACTATGACCTGCATAGAAACCAAAGAATAAAATGCTATTAATAATAAATATAATTTGTTCATAATTAATGTTTACAAATGTTGAAACAAAATGCACAAGCTCTTTAGTCTTGTTATGTTTCTTGTGATACATACTGTATGTTGACTAAGTCTACCAGTCAGTATGTTTTCTTATAAAAGATCTCAGTAGCCAATGTATTCTGAATATAGGGCAATTGGGATGAAAAGTATCCCTGCGTTATATTTTGGTGAACATGGTAACCATATAAGCACTGTACTTGTACTTTAATAATGTGTATATTTTGCCACAGCGATTCCCAACCTGTCATATTCATGATCTCCATTCAGACAGTTGCTCTTGAATAACTTGTAGTAGCTATCACATATACCTCAATTGTGGTGATTTAACGGAGATTGATAGTTAAAAATGTGATATTAACTATTAAGGTTACAGTGCACAATAATTAATCTGGTAATAACACTTAATGGCAGAGACATGGAAATATGAACACTTTCTAACTGTATGAATTAACATGATCTCTACTTTTTGTATAAAGTGCATATTACTTTCAAGACTAAATTTAATTCCTAGTATTAGTTTCTTTTAGTCATCTTATACTGTGGAATTTCTGAACACAAATTTTAATATTCTATATATTTGAAGGAGATGCAGTGGAACTATCCTATCTGTAATGAAAAGGGGTTCCCAGAACCCTAGCTGTGATTTCTTTTTCTACAAAAGCAAATAACCATAGTTGGAGGTTGAGAATCGTGTTTTTAATATTGTTATTACATCTGTAATATCTGTAAACCGAGGGCTGTGATTTCACAATAAAATTAAAAGAATGAAGAATAATAATGCTACCTAAAAGTTCCCTTCTCTATATTCCTCACGTGTGTTCAAATGATTAGTCCATAAATCAAATTCGGATGTCATTTAATATAAACAGATAACATATTTCAAAGTGGTAAAGGAGCTCTGTTCATGTTTCTCCCCCATGATAGGGCAGGATGTAAATTTGCACTTCTCAGTTCTCATCTCCTCCACTTATCTTAACACACACACAATATCTCTTACCTTCCCTGCATAATCATTATGTAATTTGCCTCTGCTGGGCAGTGTTTGTTAGGTCATTCTCATGCTGCTTCCAAGGAAACCAAAAGCAAAGGATCCATCATAATATTTACCACATTTCATCTGAATAAAATGAAATATAGGAACATAGTCAACAGTATGGAAGCAGAAAAGGTAAAGTTGTCCCTGTGCTTAGCAAACTAAGCACTATGTCATGAAGGTGTATGGGGTAGTGGATATATAGATCCACATTTTCTTGTCTTTGACAATAGTTGGAGATGAGTGGTCAGCTTCACGCCCCAGCCACTTTACCCCTGGTTCCCATTGGATAGGAGACAGGTTGGGCCCCAGGACTGGTCTGGATAACGTGAAGAACAGAAAATTCTTGACCCTACTGGCACTAAACTCCAACCTCTCAGTCTTCCAGCCTGTAGCCAGTTGCCATACCAACTGCACTATCTTGGCTCATGTAGGAAGGGGATGATTGAGATAAAGTGGGAAAGTAATGATAATCAAACATAAAAATTAAAGAGATGAGAAAGGGATATGGAAGAATGAAGATACAAAGGAATGAAAACACAAAAGAATTCTAAATTTATTTCCAACTGTCACTTATACTAATTTGGACCGATTTCATCAAACTATAAAACATAACCTATACTGTGTTTAAAACAGCTTTCAGGGTGTCAAAAACAGATAGTGACAAAGATCACTGTCATCATTAGATAGTTACTAAATTCTATTTTTAACATACAGGAACTCCACTTCTGTAAGGCTGTCTATTGAAGTTATTATTTACACTCAAAAGTGTGTTATACACATGCCATTATTTTCCACCCTGATGCACCTTATGTTCAAATAGGTACTTCTGAAACAGTCAGCAATCATCAACAGTAGCCCAAAAGCACTGAGGAAGTCACTGTGGCTATTTAGGTTAACCCTTGCCACCCAAGGCCATATGAGATATTTCAATTGATTTGGTTATCCAAGTTCTAACAACTTGCACCATGTAATGGACAGCTCCATGTCCCTGTACATGATGCAGTCTGCATCCAATGCCAATCGATCTTGCATATAAAATCTTGCACTGAGTTGTCTCACTCCCTGTAGTTCTGTTTGGTTATATTACCTTAAGCTTGTCCAAAAAATGTTTTCAATGCATGAATTTCTGGAATATTTGTTTCTTTCTGATAATATGTCACATGGTGCTAATATGTATGTCCTGTAGCACATTTCTGTATGGCTCTAGGATACAAGACCCTAGGCCTATATTCTTCACTGACAGACTGAGAATACAATATTCGACCATAAGTCTTTGTGAACAATCATAAAGTAGTCATCTTCAGACTTGAAAATGACGTTAGTGCAAATAATATTTAAAATCCAGTTTCCAATTAATCTTCAATTACCTGGTGGTCCCTGAAACAAATTCTTTCAGAATCTAACATGAAGTTCCCAGCAGAAATATATAATTCATGGCATTATTAATTTACTTCTTTCATACCTACAGGAAGTACTCTGACCATGTCTTTCTAGCATGTACTTAAATACAAGGTCAATGTATGCTTCAACTCAGTTCATACTGGTAGCAAGTGCAAAACCACTTTTCTTCTGATGGATAAATATGCCACACTGTCCAAATCAATAGCTTCCCTGTCATGTCTGCTGTACCTTTATCTTTAATATTCTCAAGCATCTGTTGCTCCAGGATGGTGGTAATATGAAGCCTGAAAGCAATATCAATTAGAATACTGTTTGGATAAAGTACACATTGTGAACAGACTTCAAGTACAGGCATTGGAAAATTTATCAGCAAAGCAACAGCAAGTCTACTTACTGAACATGTGGGTATGGGATTTGTCGATACTCCAATAGACAACCACTTCGGAAAGTTTGTGGGATGTTCCCACATCACTCCCCTTCTCGCGAGAATTATGCTCATAAGTTCAGGAGAGTGGGGAAATGGATGTGGCGCCCTGAGCATGTAGTTCTTGTAGGGAACTGTCCACGAAAGTAGTTGGGGAGGCGTGGCGTGCTGCTGGGACTGGCTGGAGGCGGGCCATGTGCTGGCGGAGCTGTGGTGAAGTGCGCTGGATCCACAGGGTCGGTAGCTGGAGTTAGTAGCTCGCCGGGGATGCTTGAGGGCTCGCTGTACATGAGCTCAGCTACCGATGCTTGCAGGACCTCCTTGAATGCAGTGTGGATTCCTAGGAGAACCAGGGGAAGCACCTCAGTCCACTGTTAGTCCGCGTGGCACATGATGGCTGCCTTCAGTGTCTGGTGGAAGCATTCCACGAGTCTGTTAGCTGCTGGGTGGTGGGCGGTTGTACGTGAGAGCTGGATGCCGCACAGCCTCTGGATACTGCTGCTTGCGAGCTGTCTGCGGCATCCATGCTGAGTCAGGGTCACCAATGTGGGATTCGTCAATACTCCAATAGACAGCCACTTTGTAAAGTTTGTGGGATGTTCCCACATAGGAATGACAAACAGAAGACCTAATAGTAGAATATTGAGAGTCACGAAAAAATTCAGAAGTTGACAACATATTTAATACAAAATAAACAAAACTAGAATTTAAACTGACCAATAGCAATTGAGGATAAGGTTTTTTCTTTAACAAATTGTTATAATTAATGCAAGGAAGTGATTTCTCATTCACAGGTGAGGAAAAACAGCAGTGGCGTTTTCAAGGAGTAGTATCTTATGTCTCTCACACTGAATAGCACAAATACAATTAACAAATGCAATAAAAGAATGTCTAGACATGTTTATTTGCAAACATACAAACTAACACCTTTAAGTGATAACATGTCAAAGGGGGGCCATATCCACTCATACTGAATACTCACAAGTAAAACCTAAAAATAAGGGCACATCAATTTTTATTGGAGCTTGGATCTGTAACATGAATCAATCTATCTGCCAATTTCTGAGGGGTGAAGCAAATGACCCTGAAATCCAGCACTGTCTTCCTTACAACTGGGCCCATCACATCATTAAATGCTGCAAAAGAGAGAGAAGTATAAATGTTCAAACAGAGGATTCAGATACTGAAGTCCATATAAATACATGTGAGAAAGAAATGCACAGTCCAAACTGAAAATAGACATTAAGGGCCTTGACCTACAAACGAGATAAAACCTGCTAGCATTTTCAATTGCCTTCAAACTACTGTGAACAAGAAATGTGGCAAGCTCATTCAAGTCATGCAGATGTCTAAACTAGAGGAAACATGTTTATTGCCCTCAGTCACACCTCTTGGTATTAGCATCAGATGTTGGCCTTCTTCAACCATCAAAGTGAAGACTGACAACCCGAGGATTTATGTAAGACATTACTACAAACTGTGACCAAGAAGTAATGAACAGGAATATAACAATCTTTCTTTCCTTCAAGATTAAGTACTACAATTTCAAGACTGACAAAAGTAAATACTTCACTCATCCAAAGTTTATAAAACCTTGGAAAGATTTCATTTGGAGAAACACAATGGAAACTTCATATTGGAATAGGTACTTCTCACAGTACAGGGATTAGCTAGAGTAATTGTAAAGCCTTGGAAAGTAGATTTTCTGACTATGAAACATTTATGACAGAATTCATTGACTCACTGTGTTCCATATAATTTCACTTCAGAGAATCAAGAAAATAATACAAACTACTATAAAACAAATTAAAATAAACCCTGTCAGGTCCGAAGTTTAATACTGAGTTTACAACCTAACTCTCTCAACATATTCATCTAGGTACCTCCTGCTAGCCCTACATAATTCTAATTCTTTCCCTGTATTAAATTAAAAAAAAAAAGGTTCAACAGCATTCAATCCTCTTACTGATAAACCTGCTCCTATACAAACAAGCCAGCTGGTTGTGTGCTAATGCTCTAGGCTTGTTTTTAGGAGGTACCAAGTTTGAATATCGGCCATTGTGACTGACGTCTTTCATGCTTTTCCTTGATCCCTAGTGGAAAATGCCAGGAAGGTACCTCAACTAGGCCAAGACCACACTATTCCAAATCCTTTCCAATTCACCATTCATCTATCATTCTATACGTTACCAATTAATGCCAAATAGTCTGTGATTCTCAAGGCATCATTCATACAAGAAACGCTAGGCTGTGCTGCAGAAACTGAGGGTGTTGAAACCTAAAGATTATGCAAGTTTGTGCTACCTGTTGATATACAACATGGAAAGAATCAGTCCAACAAATATTGGCCAGACCACACAATCTAGGCTTAGAACAACACTCTTCAACGTCTAAATTATTTCAGCAGCAGAGAAATGGCTAAAAAAAGTATTAGTCAACATGTGTAATGGCTAATAATACAAATTCCACCATCAATGCAACTATCATTTTATTAACTTATGTTCCATTACATGTTTCGATCCTTAGAGGGTCATCCTCATTGTGTTTTACACATTTTCATTGTTGAATTGTAAAGCATATAGTGGAACATAAGTTAATAAAATTATAGTTGCGTTGATGGTGGAATGTGTATTATTAGTTATACTCATAGAACAGAATGCAAAAAATAAATAAATACAGAAATGCAATGGCATTATTACTATACATTACCTTATATTCAGAGTTTGTCCCGAATCTTCTGGAAGTAAGCAAGGTCCTCTTCTGAGATGGATGGTGTTAAATTGATTATTGCTTCTCTGAAGTCCTCCACTCCAACCTCAACTGCTGACGGCATACTACTGCCACCTGCGAACACAGGAAAGTATATGCAACTTCTATCTTAGCTTAGCAACTGATGAGACCTGAGGTTTACAGAGCAGTCCTATTCAATGCAGTCTTTTGGGTATTACATCATGTCAGAAGAGCACAAATTACTAATTTTTTGAAGGAATGTTATGCAAGCAGTGAGGATTCAAAAGAACCCTTAAGATGGCAGCTAGTTGCCACACTTCACATGGTAAGTTACCTGCATGAATCCTCAATTAACATTAAAAACTGGTACATTTTTGGTGGATGCCAAGAAACTACACTCCATTGCCCCCATATTACAATATAATACATATGTACCTCAACCCTCCCACCCTCAAATAAAGATATGCTTGTTATCACCTCAACCTTATATTTTATAAAATTCTCCCAATTCCTCCTTCCCCTTGGAAAATTCCCCTACCTTTCACAGTGATCTCCTTACACTGCTTTAGTTTCAGTTTTAAAACTTAGTATGTGTGTTTCTATTTTTAATTTTAAAATCTAATGAGTATATGAGCCGGTCACGGTAGCCGAGCGGTCTAAGGCATGCACAGTCTTCGCTCACTCGGAAGCCAGGATCGTGGGTTCGAATCGCACTTAGGGTATGGATGTTTGTGTGCGTTTTTCTGTGTTTGTGTACAGGTAGAGGTCTTGCGACGAGCTGATCACCCGCTCAAGGAGTCCTACCATATGTCTAAGATCTGGTACACCGAAGTGAAACAGAGAGTTACATGGAGGTAGGCCTAGGCCCAAATGAGGGCTGTAGTGCCAGGGGGGGGGGAAATAGTATATGGCATTAAGTTAGATCTAACCCAATTTAACTAACAAATTTTCATATTTATATTAGCTTTGTAGTTTTATATGAATTCCATCAATAATTGTATATTCCTCACGAATCGTCTGTTGATGGCCTATCGGGGCTGAAACATGTTGCAAGTGGAATAATAAAAACATCTGATTATGTCACAGTAACCCTTCCATTTTCATTTGAAGGTGCAAGGTGCCAACATGCAGTTAACTAATATACTTTTCTTTGGTAATAGTGATAGTCTCATTCTTTTATGATAAAAAAATCTACTCTAGTGACACTTTGTCCACCACAAATGCCATAAGGACAGCCATGGGACTGAACTCAGGGCTCTGTGCAGTTAAAAGACAGCAATCAACTGTCTGGAACAGGCCAATGGAAGAGTTAAATGATATATAAACCAAACTGCAGAGGATATGCAGGAATCCTCTAAGCAGCAAGCTCTCTCACTGTAAAGGGCATTCATAACACAATCAATACATGCAATACTGAACATTGGGAAGTGGTACAACTGCAACACAATAAATACCATGCATTAAGTTGTGAATCTCAGTCCTCAGAGCAATGGCCCAGGCGTGTGAACAGACGGAGTATAGGTCTGCTCCAGTCACTTTGTCTGGCAAGAGGGACACAACATCCTTCAGATTGACATCACTCCTCAGCTGAAACCTGTCACATCACAAAAGGGAGCTACAACTAACAGCAGGAAGCAGCCACCATGTATCAACAGACGTGAAGCTAATGGGTACTATGTCTTTTGGTAATCATACAAATAACCACAATAAGAGGGTCTTCACCAGCCTCGGCTGTTTGGCTTGCATTACCACTTCTTTGTTATACGCTGCAATAGTGGAGGCATCTTTAGTGGTTTTCTATACAAATGTGAGCCTGAAAAACTGTAGGATTTCATGGAAACTGATATCAGACATTTGAAACCTATGAACTCCAAAACAGGTAACATTACAAGAAAGCCAACAACATATTAGGAATGTAATAGGTTTTGAATGTAACCTTGAACTCCAGCATTAAATTTTCATGGCCTGTAATATGTCCCGTGGTAGAAGAGGTAACACAGAATTTGGAACTGTTATTGAATTGAATTGAATTTATTTACATTCTATAAATCCTAAGTAGGTTAGTACCTTTGGATACAGAACAAGTCAAAAGGTTACATACATAAGTACAGGCAATTTTAGCATAAAATTAATATAACTTAATTTTACATCATTCTCTATTTACATTGAAGTATTCATCTAAAGAGTAGAAGGAATGAGCATGTAGATAATTCTTTAACTCTGATTTAAACTTTTTAGTATCATTGCCCAAGTTTTTAATACTTTGTGGCAGATTGTTGAACACTTTTATGCCAGTAAAGTAGACTCCTTTTTGATATACTGATAAAGTTGATGAGGGTAGGTGGAAGTTATATTTTTGTCTAGTATTCATGTTATAGACATCAGAATTTAATTTGAATTTATCTTTGTTGTAAACAACAAATAAGAGAAGCGATAATATGTATTGCGATTGAAGACGCAGAATTTTTAATTTCTTAAATAATTCTCTACATGAATCTCTACTTCTACATCCTGTAATGATTCTAATTATATTCTTTTGTATTTTAAAAATTATTACACTATGTGAAGAGTTCCCCCAAAATATTAATCCATAGTTCATAATAGAATGAAAGTATAATCTCATGGTCAAAGAGACTCCAAAACTATTACTGCATAACAACTTATACAGGAAGTGAAGCAATATTTCATGTTCAAAGCCATATATCCTAGATGTACCAACCCTGAACTCTATAGTTAATCTTTTCACAAAGCACCTTACTCTAATATTATATGTCAAAATGCTTACTTTTCCCTCTCATTAGCTACTGGACTTCCTGGCATTCAGACATGCCTTTGATATTGATATATAATGGAGGGAGGGAGGATAAATAACAGTAATAGTCATAACAAAGTGGCCTGTTGGCAAACTACCCAAGTCATAACCATCAACGTGGTAGTTTAAGGGCAACCCTATTCTAGATATTTACCTATATATGCACACACAGTTTGAAGTTAATGCATGTTATCCACAAAAAATAGCATTGATGAATAAGTATACAAATTTGGAATAGGTAAAATCCCCCAGTTTTTTAAACCATTTTCTGCAGGAACTCTATGAACATAATCTCAACATAATTCTTAATACTTTTTTTTTAATTAGGAATACCTTATGCACAGAACTAGTGTTATGCCAAAATATTATTCTATAATTAACCACACAGTGAAAATGAGCAAGGTCCTCAAGGTTTGAATATTAAGAATAGGAGATAATCTTCTCATTATAAAACAAACTGAACTCAGCTTATGCAGCTTCCATGAAAGTTGACTGTCCAGCTGTAAGCCTAAAAAAATTATAACATTTGTTATGGCAGGCAAAATTTACTATTTTAGTCTTTTCCAGATTTAATAACAGACATAAGACACGTTCTGTACCTGTTCTACTGATACCATCTTTACAACAGAGCAATAACACTACAAACTATAGAATCATGTGAATTCTGCAGTAAAAATCTGTAACCCATAGAGCCTTTCAAAGATATTAAATCACAATTCCATTATACAGAAGTCAGCATTGCACAGAGACACACTTGTGACATACCTTCTTGTTAGGGCCACCATTATACTGAGTTGTGATTCTTTATCCTCAGAAATCCCCACATACAGGAGTTTGTCAAACCTGTATGAAACACAAATCAGTGCTCTGAAACTAAAACTGTTACATGGTTGAATGCTGTGACATTAACTGCAATTCCAAGATTTCAAAATTATGTGCTTAAAGGTAAGGAATTGTCTTACACGAAACAATTATAACTTTTCACGGCCTCGTGATCCTTTATGCATTGCAAATAGTGAAATACAACACACAAAGTTCTTTCCACACACTGCACCAATGCAGCCTTGATATTTTCATCTGACTTGAATCACCAGCCCTTTTGGAGCTATCTTCAGGGACAAAACACACGGAAGTCACACAGAGACAAGCCTGGGATGCATGGCAGATGGTCCAAAACCATCCAGCACATATAGTACAGTATGTCCTGGACAGCAAGGGCCACACAAGGATCGGTGCCACTGTGCAACATTATGACACTCCACATTAGCATGCTCTCTTGATATTAGTATCAAGGTCTTGAAGGGTTCCATGAAACAGTGTCCACTGAATGTGAGGTTAGGGTCACAAATCACAGAATTCAATGATCAACAGTTGGTCCTATTGGAACGAAATCTGCGCCAAAATTCCAGAATTTATCTATGTCATACTGTCCCTGTTTCCTCTAACATTCTGTTCCATAGTTTGTGGTCATGCACACAGTCAGATGTTTACCTGTGACTGGTCAAATTCACTAGCACCACTATGAATGGGTTTCATCTGACAAACATATAATCATCTGTTCCCAGTTTTAAAGCTTGCAATTCATTTATTTGTAAACAGATATTGGGAGCTGATGGCCTGACAGCTAATATATTAAGCATCATAGCAAACAAAATATCAAGCTGTAACAAAGGGCAAGGAAATTTCTAGGAGGGAATAGTTGCTTCAACTTTCTGAGCATTATGATGGCTTGAAGAACAGGTTTCTCTACAAAAGCAAAGTTTTTCACTTGACATAACTTTCAAATACTATGAGACATGGTGCAAGTTGAGTACTGGAAATCTGAATCAAATCTGCCAGATAGATTGTGACTGTCCTGTTTCCAAGAGGCCAAATTAGCAAACCTGCAGGAGCAATCTGCCTGGTGTGGATGCGCTGAGAGCGACTGCTGGTGATGGCTCTTACCTGCCAGGTCTAAGTAATGCTGGGTCAATAAGGTCAGGCCTATTTGTGGCACCAATCACAAATAAGTGTGAAGTCTCCTGAAGGCCATCCATTTCTGCCAGCAGCTGGGAGACGACTCTGTCCATCACCCCACCTGAGTCCCCAGTTTTTCCCCGGTTTGGTGCCAGAGAGTCCAGCTCATCGAAGAAGATAATGCATGGTGAAGCAGCTCGTGCTCTGCTGAACACTATAACCAACAGTATAACATGTTAAAACACTGGATTACCATCACATCTTCAGTCTACCTAATCAGTCAACAACAGAGCGTGTACAAGAATGTACATGTTTTACATGCAATTTCTCACACCTGAATTTTCAGCCTGCCAAGCAGTGTCAGAAAATATGTGAAATAGCTATGTAGTTAATTACAAAAACTGACTCTAACCTTCTCTGACATTCTCCTCACTCTGTCCCACATACATATTTAGCAACTCAGGCCCCTTCACAGACAAGAAATTAAGGCTGCATTCAGTGGCAACAGCCTTCGCCAGCAGCGTTTTGCCAGTACCAGGGGGTCCAAAAAGAAGAATACCTGAAAGAACAATATACATTAATATCAACAGTTTTGTGATGTGTGCCACTGTGCAGTTTTTATGGTACGTATCAGTATTCTGGTAGCGCCGGCTGACTCTGTTTTCAGCGTGGAAGGCTGTGCTAAGGGTGGGGCAGCAAATTTCCTCATGACACAGCTGCCTGTTTGCCAGGTTTATTTTAACATAATTTGATAGCAATGCTTTTCTGTGACAGGAATACAACGTTACCAAGCAGCCATTACTTGTATGATGTCATGGCTATGTTATTATCTATAATTACACTGTCATTCAGACTTGTTCTGATCATTCCTTAATATTTCACTGTGTCATATTTTGGGATTAATGAAAGTCATACTTATCATTGAATTCACTTTAAACATGATCCCATAGCATCATACGAAGATACTGCCAAAAAGTATCTGTTGAACAATATCACACTAAATGATATATCAGTGGCCATGCACACAAAGTGAGTCCTTATACCATGTACTGGAATTAACATATCCTGGGCAAATGCTGTATGTTGCATTTGAGCTTCTCATAGTGCTGGTTATGAAGAGTCCTACCAGTAGAAACTAGCATGAAGCAAGCAGCAGGCAATTCTGCTTGCTTGTTTCTTGATTGGGTTATTCTGTGACTCTGACAATGGAGGTGATACACTTCTCTGAAACTCTGGCTGACTTCCAACTGATTACCTGGTATTACCTCCCTTAAGGCAGCACTCATCAAAACTCAGTATGTCTGAATTATGAACTCACTGGTGTGAAGTTCAAGTAGTCAAAATTGGAGAGATGAATGTAAATACAATGGCCTGCCTGATCGTTTTAGTCCCGTTGCCAGAAGTCCAGGATGCTGGAGTGGCAACATGATAGTCTGCATTATCTCCTCTTTTAGGTCTGACAATCCTCCCACATCATTCCAGGATACCTTTGGTATTTTGGGAGCATCAATTGCTTCAGAGTATGCTGCATGCATGATATCTGTAGACAGAATACAAAACACAAGCACCGGAAGTTGATAAGGTGACCTTCTTTGATAATTTTTGAAGTCGCTTTTGTCATGTACGAGGGGGGACCCAAAAATAACCGGAATTTATTTTTGTTATTTTTTATTTTTGCATTTTTATTGAACTGTATATTAGTCCCCTTCAAAGTATTGTCCATGTGCATTAATGCACTTGTCCCAACACTTTTGCCACTGCTCAAAACAGTGCTGGAATTCTTGAGGCTGGATACTGTTCAAAGCCTTTAGCGTGTTTTCTTTGACTTCATCCACATCACGGAATCACTTTCCTTTCAGACTTCTCTTCATCCGTGGAAACAAAAAATG